CTTCAAAGCCACATATGAGAAAGGTAGCATTATTATACCTACTCCACAGATGAAAAAACTTAGGCACAGGGAAGTCAAAGAAGGTCACAGTACGTGGTGGGTTGAGATTCACATTTGGTAATCTGGCTCCAAAATCATTTTTCCCAACTGCCATGTCCGTTACCTGAGAATGGATAAGTCTTGCTATTGAAGAGGCTGCTTCCACCAGCAGGAAAGAAGAGAGAAGAATGGCTTTTAAATATACAGTGAGCAGTGCTGCTCCCGAGGAACAAATTGCTCAAATTGCAGTCTTTGATTGGCACACTCCAAGACGTCAGTGATAGACACTGGCCGTTCGGTGAACACGGCCCACGTTCTCTCTGGGCCCGTGTCTCCAGTAAATAGGCAGGAGGAACCTCTGGGCAATGATTGGGGTTGATCTAGAAGCAACAGTAGCAGCAGCTCCACCTACAGAAATCTCCAAACCGATAGTGCCCATGCCTACCAGGGACATTGGAATGAGCTCTGGGGAACAGACTAGCTTTCTCCCAAGAGCAGAATGGCAACAAGGGGAGTGGAACCCCATGGGAGACTCTCTCTCTCTCTCTCTCTTTCTCTCTCTCTCTCTCTCTCTCTCTCTCTCTCTCTCTCTCTCTCTCTCACACACACACACACACACACACACACACACACACACACACACACACACAGCTCACCCGCAGCCCAGTGCTTCTTTCTACCCAGGCAGAGTGCTAGACTGCCCATCAGCACTTCACTGGCACCAGCAAGGATGTGTCCTGGGAACCAAGGGGAGTTTTGTTTGTGAGAAAGGCAGCCCTGCCTGAACGTCACAGACACTCCCCATCCAGCCTGTTCTGCTGCTGGTCAGATCATCACAGGACACTTCCTGCTGCAGAGTCTTTACGCTCTCTGAGCCTCACTTGCCACTTGAGAACTCCCTGCCGCTAAATGCACCATCTAAAACATTCAAGCTCCCATCCTCCAGGACTTTACAGCCGCTAACTCTGCCCTCCAGTGCTAAAAATACCAGTTTTTCCCTGTCGTTAATCCAGCAGTTTTTCCAGATATTTATCTTTTCATAGTCAGAAATGCAGTGAGTCACTTTCCTCACCTCCCAGGCACATCGCCCGGGGAAGGGGGTGGATGGATTCTTAGCGGGAGAGCGGAGAGCGCTTTGCTCTGCCTTATGTAAACCCCTGGAGCTGGATGTCTCCAGACACAGATAAAGAGGAGCCTGGGGTGAGCAGAGGAGGTGAGAGAATGGAGCCGCTGAACAACCAGCCCTCTTTTTCACAGAACCAGCTGCTGCCTGCTGATCTGAATCACAGCCCTGGCCTGTGGGAAGTCAGCCTTGCCTCAGAGCAGAATGAGCAGAGGAGGAATTCCTCTCCAGGCTTCTCCCTCGGAGGTGCCAGAACAGTTCACACAGCAGCAATGTCTTCTTATCAGCTTGAGAGAGAGAGGTCCTGACTATGCCAAGGAGAGACAATGGAATCTGGCCGCCAGGGCACCCAGGCTTTGTAGAATCTGTAAGAATGTTAAGAATAAGGTGGGGTGTGTCTTGCTGGCCATCATGACCAACTATCCTCAGGGTATAGAGGGGCCACAGTCATAGTCATATTTGCCCTGAGCCATAACTTTATAGATTTGAGTTTTCTAGAGCTAAAAAAGCCATGGTCACTTATTTCTTCAAGGCTGTGCAGTCTGGTTGAGCCACCGCCTTTGCATGCTAAATGCACAAAAGCCAAGATCTGAGAGACATGTCCGTGTTCTGTAAAGCCCCTGTCAGGCTTTATAACAGTTGCTTTCAGAATTCTTTGGCTCTGGTGGGCCTCCATGGCCTCAAATTGGAGCAGGAGGCAGGTCCTGGTCTCCATGAGCCTGTCCAGCTCAGAAGTCCTGAGCTTCGGAAGAGGACTTTGCAGGATGGAAGTGCCTTATATTCAGGTTCCTTCACTTTCTCTGTAACATTCCCTGGCCCATCTAGTGGGAATGTTAGGCAGAGCTCCCAGACAAAGGTTGCAATTGTGTCTCACTCTTGGGCAGCCAGGAGAATCGATGAAGTATTTATAGTGTGTGGTAGGCCAAATAATGCCCCCTCCCAAAATGTCCACACCCTAATCCCTGGAACCTGTGAATATGTTATATTATTGTAGTTACAAAAGGGAATTGAAGCTGAAATTAAGATAGATTATCCTGGATTGTCCATGGTGGCCCAATCTAATCATGTGAACCCTTAAAAGTAGAAAATTTACTATGGCTAGAGGTTGGCAAGATGCTATAAAAAGGAAAAGTTGGATATTTAAAGCATAAGGGGGCCACATAGAAAGCATGAGATGGGAACGGGCAGCCTTTAAGGGCACAAGACCAGCCCCTCAATGATAGCCATCAAGGAAACAGGGATCTCAGTCCAACAGCCACAAGGAACCGAATTAAGCCAACAACGTGAATGAGCTTGGAAACAGTTTTATTCCCAGGGCTTCCAAAAAGGAACACAGGCCTGTCAATACCTGCAAGAACCTAAGCAGAGAGTCACTGAGTCATCCTGAACCCAGATATCTGACCTAGAGAACTGAGATAATAAATGGGTGTTGTTCTCAACCACTAAATCTGTGGTAATGTGTTGTAGCAGCAATAGAGAATCCTCTGCAGTCCTGGGGCTGCCCACCACCCCTCTGAAAAGAAGTGTGAGGATGTGAGGTTGGTCTTTCTCTCTTGCTTTCTCCTCTTCTCTCACCACCCTTTCAAATCCCAAAGTGAAAACTGGAGATTAATCTTGCCATCTCCAGCTCTCCTTTTTCCAATATCTTCTCAAATTTATGTAGCGAGATTATACCATTAATTCCTATTATGCATAATAAGGAAAAGGAGAAAAGACAAAATTTAAGAAGTCATTCAAAGATTATATGTGTGTATATATATATACATATAGACCATGTATATATACATATACACTTTGTACATAGACCTTATATGTACACATAGACCTCTTACATACACATAAACCTTGTATATATACATAGACTTAGCATATAAACATAGACCTTGCACATGCACATAAACTTTGTTTACACATATACCTGTATAAACACGTAGATCTTAGATATACATATAGACCTTATGTGTCCACATAGACCTTGTATGTACACATAGACCTTGTATATACATTTAGACCTTGTATGTATACACAGACCTTGAATGTACACATAGACCATATCATTTTCTAGCTCTGGAAAGTCACCCTACACCTACACAGACAATGCACCTCCACTCATACTTACCCTGCAACTCTGATTCCCCTCCTAGCAAACCCCTGTTGCCTGCCTGGGCTATAGGATCAGACTGCTGGGGGCGCAGAGCAGGGTGACCACAGATAATCCACTTTAGGGAAAAACATTTTGAGATCATTAACAGCTTTTAGGCCTGACAAAGCCCAAGAGCTCTTCCCATCTGATAAAGTAACTATAATGACTGAACTCATTCTCCAATCAGTCTAAGCACCCAGCAGGGACCTGTGCTCTATTTTAAAGGTCACAAGGATTGGGAATAACAGTCCATGATCTAAGTCAATGTTTCCTGAACTTTCTGTGGAGGATCTGTTCATGAACTTCACATAGAGGAAACAGAAATGTGGTAAGGAGTGGGAAGCAGAAAGAGGGCCACTCCCCTGGATGTTCCCCAGTGCAGATAAATACCACTGCATCCACTTGTCCTTCCACTCCATCATCCCATATCCATGTGTACACACACACACACACACACACTCCACCCTACTGCTTTATTCCCCAAATCCAATCTCAGTACCCACAACCTACTTGAGAATCCTACATAAAATGCAAACCAATTTGAAGGATGCCGCTTCTCACACAAGTTCACTTGGAAAAGGAAAAAGTTATCAACCTCAGAGATGCTAGCATCACTGTAAGCAGAGCTATGAGCCAGAGAAGAAATTGGGAGACCTAAGTTGGTCCTGCCAGCCAGTTCCATCTTCAGGAAAGAAATCTCAAGATCCACCGAGCCCTCCCCAATCCCAGAGAGCTGCCACCACCCAGCCCCACTGAACCTCGGGCACAGACTTGTACTGTGATTTTACTCATGAGACTAGAAGGAAGGATCTGTCCCAGCATTTGGAAGAGCATGTCCCCTGATTCGATCATTGTTCTTTCTCCAATGCCATCTGTTAATGGCTATTATTTCACTGGAACACAAGCTGTGGTGGTATTCATTTCTTTTTCTCTCCTGCTTACAAACCTCATGATATATTGAACAATTCAAGCATCATGGGCTGTTCTAGCACTTTCCAGGATTTAATTCATTTAACCTTCACAATGGACTCTGCAGTGGATTCCATTTTTATCCCCATCTGACAGTTGAGGATGCTGAGGCAAAGGAAGTTTAGTGAATTGCAGTCATGGGGTTAGGACATAGGTAGCAAATCCGGAATTCAAATCCAGACAGCATGACTCTAGTGTCCACAGCCTTAAGTCTTAACAATGGTGCTTTCAAGATTCAAATATTGTATCAAAGGAATCACCCAGCCCCTAGGAAGAAGATAATGAAGAAATAATGCAGACCAACAGCACACTGTCCGTTAGAGAAATGTGTCCATTGCAACCATACTTTCACACATTCATTTTCTCTCTCTCTCCTTCTCTCTCTCTCTCTCTCTCTCTCTCTCTCTCTCTCTCTCTCTCTCTCTCTCACATGCACACACACACACACACACACACACACCCCACCACCACCACCACCACCACTACCAACCACCACCACCACATCACATCTGCTATGGATCCACTACAACCATGCAATGAGATTTAACCTTGACTCATGAGTTTATGTGGCTAAATGGACACAGACATATTCTGCTCTTTACCTATCACCTTATGTTCTTAGGGGATGGTTCACTTTATGTGTCAACGTTATGTGCCACAGTGTCCAGATATTTGGTCAAACATTCTTTTTTTAATTATTATTTTTTTTTAAAAAAATACTCTTTCTGTAGGGATGACAAATATCAGTATTAGGAAATCCAATTATACAAAAATACTACATCTAGTTTGGCATAGATATATTTTTATTTTTTTTGTAACGTACATTAAGCGGCACTAATTACACAGCAACCATAATGTAACTAACATGAAACCACAGAACTGTAACTTTGCCACATCTGCACAAACTTGGGCCTCTCTGGCTGAACCCACTGCAGAGGTACGACAATGAAATGGGCTCAGGAGTAAAGCTCTGAAGTGGTAGCACTCCAGAGTGCCTTGCAGCTGACAGGTAACAGGCAAGACATGTTGTTATGAAGTAGCTAGTACAGGCCAACTCAAAAGTTACCATTTCTGCCGAAACCGGTTTGGCTCAGAATGTCTGTGTGCGGACTGAAAGATCCCAGGTTCGATTCCGGTCAGGGGCATGAACATTGGTTGTGGGCACATCCCTGGTAAGGGGTGTGCCAGAGGCAGCTGGTTGATGTTTCTCTCTCATCGATGTTTCTGGCTCTCTATCTCTCTCCCTTCCTCCTCTATGTAAAATATCAATAAAATATATTTTTTTAAAAAGTTACCATTTCTCTTTCTAGAAAGAAGCAAGAAGTTAAGGAATTCCTTGAATTGTGTGTCCTGTGGGGGTGCAGAGGAGGGTGGTTAGAGGCTGTCAGAGGACCCTGCGGGCCAGGTGGGCTGGATCATTAATAACCATGGTTGGCTTCTTGCTGAAACTGGTTTGGCTCAGCGGTAGCACATCGGTCTGCGGACTGAAAGGTCCCAGGTTCGATTCCAGTCAAGGGCATGTATGTTGGTTGCAGGCACATCCCCGGTAGGGGGTGTGCAGGAGGCAGCTGGTCGATGTTTCTCTCTTATTGATGTTTCTAGCTTTCTATCTCTCTCCCTTCCTCTCTGTAAAGAATCAATAAAATATATATTTTTAAAAATAACCATGGTTGGCTTCTAAATACTGGTAACAAGATGACTTCTGCTTTGTAATCTTAGGTAAATTATAGATAAATGAAAAAGGCTAGTAATCAGACACTAAGATTAATAAACAGCACTTCGAAATTAACCGCGTGAGGGCTGTGCTTGCAGCAGGTTCACAAACAAGGCACCCAGGTTTTTCCTTCCCATGTCTGGCTTGCAGAGAAGCTCTCTCAGCCATTTCAGAAACCTCCCTCACTCCATCTTTGGTCTTTGCTGAACACTCCATGTACCCAAAAGTGCCAATCCTGTTTTCCATATTTCTGCCTTATTCTAGTTTTCCTGGCTCCTGCTTAGTCTTGGCTAGCTTCTGCCTTGCGTGCTCACCAATCAGGTTGATGGGCACATTGGAACAGAAATGCTTGACTTCCGGAACCCATTTTTCTGGGTTGTTTTCTAAACTATCAGAGCTGTCAAAGGAGAAACACATCAGGATAACTTCAGTGTCCTGGCAGGAGAGGGGCCTCGAGCAATCATAATCCTCCTGCCCAGCTGTGTCCCACAAAGCCACTCCACCTGCTTTCCGTTCATTTCCATGTCTGCCACATGGTTCTCAAACAGCGTAGATACATACACCTCTGGGAACTAGTCCTTGCTAAAAACAATGAGCAAGCAAGTCTTGCCACAGGCTCCATCATCAACAATCACCAATTTCTTCCCGATGGCAGCCATTGCTTACAAATGTGCTGCAAGAACCACAGGTGGCCTATGGCAGAAGTTCTACAAAGTGCCTTCAACTTCTCAGATGAAAGGCTCTCGGGAGATGCTCCGACTCTGGCCTCCACGAGTCCCAAGCTCAGAGACTAGGGTGGGTGGCTAAGGAGGCTGCAGACTAAGGAGAGAACCTATAGCAGGCGGGCAGGGGCAAAACATTATTCTTATTATATCTGTGACAGAGGTGTTGACAGACCCAAGAGGCCACACCTCCTTTCAAACCAGAACTTGCTTACAAACCACCAAGCACTTTATAACATTCTTTCTTGGGTTACTTCCCTGTATAAACTGACAATTGATTCCAAAAATGATGGCATATTAGGAGAAAAAAGGCCAATCAGTCCATAGTTCTTTTTCTTTTCAGACCTTCCTTACTCACCCATAAGCCAAAGGCAGATAGTGTTGGTAGAATCTGCACATATGAAGAAGAGAATGGAAACGGTTAAGTTCATTTTGTGTAGCATTTCCATTGTTCTGCTAAAAATATAATCTACATGCATGTGTGAGCTATGAAATATAATGTGTGTGGTTTTAGTGACTCTAGATGGGACTTTAAATGCTCTTATATTTGCATTTAAAACTAAGCTTGCACCATATAAAGATTAACTGTAAATTCATGCTAACAATTTAAAATGTTAATCTTTCTTCACTTAGAATGACAATAAATAGCAAGTTTTAAAAAACGCTCTGACAAGACAGGAGAGAGATTGTGGACAAAAGGGAAAGAACACAAGGCCACAGACATACTAGTAAAGCCTCACAAAATTGTTGGGCTGACTAAGTGAGGACATGGTAACAGGTCCTGGACATGGTAGGTGTCTATTAGCCCTCCCTACTCTCCTCCACACATTCTGCCCAGCAAGATTCCAGCCTGACATCCTAATGGGAATTTGGGGACTTGTTTACATTGCTGCCCTTCCTAGGGGTATTTGTGTTTCAAGCAAAAGACATAGAATTTCGGACACCCAGTCAGTTGGAAGATAATCTGGGACTCAGGGCTCTGTCTAGATCCTCAGATCATGGGAAAAGCCATATTCAACTCTTCCTACTCAAAAAGACAAACCAAGGCCCGGCCAGCATGGCTCAGTGGTTGAGTGTTGAACTATAAACCAGGAGATCATGGTTCAGTTCCCGGCCAGGGCACATGCCTGGGTTGCAGGTTCGATCCCCAGTGTGCGGCGTGCAGGAGGCAGCTGATCAGTGTTTCTCTCTCATCATTGATGTTTCTATCTCTCTCTCCTCCCAATAAAAGATTTTTTTTTTTAATAAAGGGCAAACCAATTCAGCATTGCCACCCTCCTTGAGCTTCTCCTCCAGGTTTTGCTGGGGAAGGAATCTCTTGCTCTTGTGACCTGGGGAAGAACAGCAGACTAGCGCTGGTTTCCGGACTAACTAATGCCCCTTAATAAGCTCCTCGCTGGGTGAGGCCCGTGTCTACATCTGCTCGGAGGGCTGTCTCCACAAGCCGGCTTGGGGAATGTCATTTAAAATCTGTCCATCTCCAAAGACAGCATCTCGTCACATGACAGCCGAGCCTGGGGAAGCAGATGCTACAGACAGGGGTGTCCTTTCTAATGACATGCAGAGCGGCAAGACGAGCTTGCCAAAGGGAGGCCAAGGAAGTGAGTGGTGACGAGCAGCAGCCAGGAGAGCACAGGCTTGGAGACCATGTTGCACTGAGAAGCATCCTCCCACGGACGTCTAAGAGGAGCAGCAGATAACAGTTTAATGGCGTTGGCTCAGACCTTGTTTCCCGGTGGTTTATTCTACAATTTGTTCAGACTTTTATTATAAAAGGGAAGGAATACTGCATTCAGGAGGCACAGTCGATTCTGGCTAATCAGATCTATAAGGGGCAATTTAAACAGACAGTCGGGTTGCCATGGTAACGTTCCTGTTTTATTTATGGAAACAAGGTCAAGGTATGGGATCTGAGAGGCAGCACATCTCACTGCTGTGATTGTCAAGCTGTGCTCGGAGTCGGGGGTCTGGGGAAAGACTCCGAAGCTGGGAGGTAGGGTGGGGCTCTGGCTCTCCTTCCCCCTCCCCATCATACCGAAGGCGGCCTCACTTTGATTTCTTTCATACTTTAGGATTACACAGCTTTGAAAAATCAAAGAAGAAAAGCAAAGCTGAGAACTGTCATAAAGAGCTCTGGATCAGGAATTTGAAGATTTGGTCTTGGTCCCTTCCTCCCCAAACAGGCAGAACGTGGTGCCCACGGCATTTCCTGGCCCTAACAGCCATCCCTGTTGCCCTCATGATTGTGACCCATCAACCCACCCATGATGCCCCTCTCCCCGGGTTTTGTCACAGAGGTGTGGGTGTGTCTAATCCTCACCTGCCCCTTCCTCCTGTGCCTACCCCACTCCCAAAGGTGGCAGGTGGGCGGGCTTCCCCCCACCAGCCTGGCAGAGACCTCTCTTATGCCTCAGTCTCCTCCTTCCTGCAGTGGCCTTCACCTCCACCTTTTCCAGGGGCCACGACGGCAGAGAGAATGCAGAAAAAGAGGCATCATAGGGGAGAATCTAAGCCATCATCCCTGCTACACAGACCTGAGTGTAATGTGTGTCAATCCGAGTCTAAGGGCAGCAGCTGTGGGTGATGAAAGCAGCTTTTCTTCTACCTGACTCAGCCACCGAGCTTCTTCTTCCTCCCCCACCCCTCCTGCCCTCCTCTTCCTCTGCCTGGGCATCAAGGACATTCTGATTCCTGTGGATAAACAGTTGAAAGGAAGCACATTTTATAAGAGCTCATCCTGTAGTTTCAGGATTCTCTTTCGTCAACAGAAATGGCAGGAAAATGTTTTCCCCCAGGGTCTGTGCAGAAACCAGTGACTCTGACCTTTGCGAGGTATTGAGCTGTGCACATGTCCTTTCACGGAAGAAGGACAAGGGTGGGTTTGGGGCAGAAACCAGGCCTAGAGGCAGACCTGGGAGCCAAGCATGGGGCTTGGAAGAGCCAAGAACAAAGGTGAAGAATGATGCACAGGCCTCTGCCTGGGCCTGAAGGAGGGCAGCAGAGTAAGGGATCCTGATCTGTGGTGTCTGCCAATTCCTGTGGTGCATGTGTTTGTACTGTGGTCAATTTCAAGGTACCACAGTAATGCAAGATGTGAATAATATGAGAAACAGATAAATACCAGCGTTGTCGAAGATGTAGAGAAATCAGAACACTGTGCACTGCTGATGGGAATGTAAAATGGTACAGCCACTATGGAAAATACAATAGTATGGAGGTTCCTCAAAAAGTTAAGCATAGAATTGACATATGACTCAGCAATCCTAATTTGGGGTATTTGCCTAAAAGAATTGAAAACTTGAAGAAATACTTGTACGCCCATATTTACTGCAGCATTATTCACAAGAGCCAAAAGGTGAAAACAACCCAATTGTCCATTGATGTATGAAAGGATAAGCAAAATGTGATACATACATATAATGGAATATTATCCAGCCCTAAAAACTAAAGACATTCTGATATATGCTACAACATGGATGAACCTGAGGACATTATGCTAAGTGAAATAATGTTTGATTCCACTTATATGAGTTGCCCAGAATGGGCAAATTGTTAAGTGCATGAGAGTACACTTAAAACTAGTACAGTGTTATATGTCAATTATGTCTCCTCTTTTTTTTTTTTTTTTTTTTTTTTTTAAGTGCATAAGAGGTCAGAGCAAGGAAAATCCTAAACCTTGGAACCTGTGAATGTTATTTTATTTGGAAATGGGTTTTTTTGCAGATGTAATCAAGCTAAAATGAGGTCAGACTGAATCTGGGTGGGTTGTAATCCTATGATTGCTGTCCTTAGAAAAAAGAAGGCTATTGAGACACAGAGACAGAAAAAAATGCCAAGTGAAGACGGACATGCCCAGGTATGTCAAAGACTGCGGGCAACCACCAGAAGAGACAAGGAAGAATCTTCCCCTGAGCCTTTGAGGAGGCATTGCCCTTTGACATCTTGGTTATAGAATTCTGGCCTCCAGAACTGTGAATCAACAAATTTCTGCTATTTTAAACTGCCAGTTTGTGGAAATTTGTTCCAGCAGTCTTAGAAAACTAATATACTCCCCCCACACACCCACACTTACACACATTATTCACAGCCCAGTGCCCTAGTGAGCCACCATGACAGACAGGCCTTAGAAGATGTGCTTGGAAACAGTGCTCGGGAGTGCAAAACTTGGGAGATGAACACCACTGTTTTTTCCTGGGGGTCCCCTAACTTAGATGATAGGGATCATTGAAGGAAGCAGGAAGACAACAACCCTTCTCCAAAGCCATGGCCCAAACTGGGAATCAGTACCTACAGGATAATCTTAGTTTCACCAAACAGGGAGAGCTGGTTACTTTCTTACCCTTGACAGTTGCTGAGGGAGCTGTCTATATCTCGGGCACAAATGGGCTAAGTATTTTTCATTGATCTACTTGGTGTGCAACATAGCTTTTAAAGCAGCCAGCAGATCCATTTCTAAAATAGAAGGGCCAGCTTCTAAAAGTATACCTAGTTACTGAGTTCATGATGTTCTTGGACCAAAGTGGCTTCAGGAGGGAAAGAAGAGCCTACCTCTTTTTCCCCATCTTTCCCTCAAGCCATAGACCCACTCCTCAGACAACTCCTCTCCAAGACATTTCAGCACATTATTTGTTTCAAGGCTTATCTTTTTATTAGGCAAGTCTTCCAGGATTAAACAGAAAAATCGTAGGAGTGGGTGAGTTGGCAGAAGAAACAGAGAAGGCCTGATTGGCTGTGCCATGTGGGTGAAGGTGAGAAATAAAGATGATGCCATTGACCTATAAAGCCTGTAACTTGTTAAAACCCTAGTCCTTAGGAAATCCATTTTCTTAGACTGGTATCAAAGAGATTATTTTCTCTGCATTTCTCTGGGCACTATTTCTCTGATAGAGCAATTCTCAGAAATTACAAAGTACAGGTAAGTAGCAACTATAATCCTCATCTTGGGAAGCCTGGACTGAGCACCCACTTTCATTAGGCTATCAGGAAAGGTGATTAAGAAGTGGAATTGGCCTGGCCTTAAGTTTTAAGTCTCCTCTTTGACACCAGCCCAGTGTTTGAGCATCAACCTATGAACCAGGAGATCATGATTCAATTTGCAGTCAGGGCACATGCCCAGGTTGCAGGCTCAATTCCCAATGTGGGGTGTGCAGTAGGCAGTCGATCAATGATTCTCATCATTGATGTTTCTCTCTCCTGCTCTCTTCTGCTCTGAAATCAAGAAAAATATATTTTTTTAATAGCAGTAGAATTGAACTTGGATATTTGACCTAGTATGAAGGCCGACTTGTCTAGAAGCAGAAGACTGCAGCCATTAACCCTGGGGTGCCTTCCCAGTGGACTGTGATGTGTGTTAGCTATTACTAGGGCTTTTTTCTTTTTAATATATTTTATTGATTTTTTTTACAGAGAGAAAGAGAGGGATAGAGAGTTAGAAACATCAATGAAAGAGAATCATTGATCAGCTACCTCTTGCACACCCCCCACTGAGGATGTGCCTGCAACCAAGGTACATGCCCTTGGTCAGAATCGAACGTGGGACCTTTCAGTCCGCAGGCCAACGCTCTATCCATTGAACCAAACTGGTTTCAGCAGGGCTTTTTTCTTTGTCTTTAGCAATAGAGAAGTTTGCACATTTGCTAGGACCACCTCCTACGCCACATGGTTGGGCATGCCCAAAGGTGTTCCATCTTACTACCTTTTCCAGTTACATGCAACTTCAGATTAAAAGACTGCTAGGGGTGGGGCTTTTAGTTGCAGAATTTTCCTATGAAAACCTGGCAAAGCCAAGCACATGTTTATTCTTGCTTTTCTGACCTTTCTGAAGGCCTGGCAGGAAAAGGCAGCTCAGCAATGAGCTCTGTGACACTGACTTGCTCTGCCTTAAACCATATTCTCAGATACTATGGCTCCAGGCTCATCTATGGATGACATTTACCCAGGTTTAAGTCTTAAGTCTCCTCTTTGACACCAGCCCAAGAAAATGGTTGGGCAAAAACCAGGCAGTGACAGCACATATTCAGGTTTTACCCAGAGGTGATTTCTTTTCCCTCATCAGAATTCATTACTATCAAGATGGTCAGTTTTCTCATTAACAACCATGACAGTGACCAGCCCTCCTCATTTATTGACTTATTGCTCATTTGAAAATGTCAAGTGATCTAATATGATTAGGTAGCTGCATGCAAGTGTCTCCTATCTCAGTCTCCTTCTGGACAATCTAGGATACAACTGGCTTTGCCTTTGCATAAAACTGAACAATCATTAGAGTCTTCACAGGACAATGAAGTCATAAGGCTTAATGGAAACTTAGGATGTTAGTCAATTCATTCTCCTTGCCTCTACACAGAAATGCAAGTCATTTAGGATAGTAGTCATCACTAATCCATAACCACAAGAATGGATAATATTTTAAAAGATAGATAGATAGATAGAACCTCATACTTAAGTACTTACATGCATTATAACTATTTTATGAGGTATTTATTATTATTATTATTCCCAGTTCATATAAGTGTAAATCAAGGTTGAGTCAGATTAAATAATATCTAAATCAGTGGCAGAAGTGAGATTTAAACATAGGCATCTCCTAACCCATAGGGTCCTGTGTCTAAAAGTATCTTCTTACTATTGTGGTTGTTCTTTTCACATAAATCAAGGCAGGGGAACAGGAGACCTTTTCCTTCTACCCTACTTAGGTTCAGTGCCTGGGGCCCTGCAAGTTAGACAAAAGACAGATTTGCAGGAGGAAAGATGTATTATTACACTAGAGGCCCGATGCACAAAATTCATACAAGGGCTCAGGCCTTGCAGCCCCGGCTTCGGAAGGGCATCTGGAAGGTCGTTTGGCTGTCTGGTCTAATTAGCATATGACACTTTTATTATTATAGATATGTATAGAGAGGACTTTTTAGAAAAGTGAAGACTCCCCAAAAACAGACAGGCTTGAGAGTTTATATACCTTTTTTAAAAGACTGATATATTATGGAGACAAAATGAGGGAAAATAGGGTTGGGGCTATGGGTGGCAAATTCTGTAAAAGTGAGTAGGAAATAATGGGGGAAACTAATGGAAAATACAGGTTATTTTAGCAAGTTTTGTTAGAAGACCCATCTCAGAGCTGACTTTTTGTCTTCTTTATGGCCATAAAGCTCTCACAGGAGCAGGGTATTCATTTCTCAGAAGTTTCTGCCTTTACTCAGATAAGAAAAGATCTGAGAAGGTTTCTTTCTGCATCTGTTGATTCTCATGTGCCTCCAGCTCAACATAATCATACCAAAGTGGCATCTTGGGGGCAGCATATCCCAGGCCCCTTCAAATCCATGCCATCTTTCTCTCAGAACAATTTAGGAAGTATTTTGACTGTCAAAACAAGATATAAATTATTTTCCTTCTTTTTTGTAATCAACTGATAGCTGCAGACCCTCTTTTTCATGTATCCTTGGTGCTTCTCAACCCCTCCTATGAGGAAGTTCTTCCTAAAGCTTCATTGTAATGCCTCCATTGCAATGCAAGCCCACTCTCCCTTATTCTGTCTCCAGGGAAAGCAGAGCAATGATTTCTATTTTTTTTTAGTGTGGCTGAAGATTGCAAGTGCGCTCTCGCTCTCTCGCGCTCTCTCTCTCTCTCTCTCTCTCTCTCTCTCTCTCTCTCTCTATCATATTTCAAGCTACAGAAAGGAAGATGACTTTTCCATCAGTAATTTGGAAGATAGTTGCCTGCTCTTTGGCAGATAATCTCTCCAGCTTCTTTATATATTCAGATGGTTTCACTTACATTGTTAACTGTCACAGTCAAATGGAAGACTTAGTGTGACATTTATACCACCCCCTGGTTAATCCTCTTCCGGGACTGATAAAGCACCCATGACAATCTTGACTTGGGAATAAACAGTTTCTAGTCCTCATGATCTAGGATTCATGGCCCACTGAAAAATTCACCATAACATCCAAGGTTTGAGTAATGAAGACTTAATTAAAGGAACCTGGAAGACTCTGAAAAAGTCTTGCAGGAATCAGCAGAATTAACTTTATCAGAAGCAGCCACAAATCTGCCTGTGAGGGCAGATGCATTATTTCAAAACAGGATGAAATCTTCAACTTCTTTATTTTAAAGTCAAAGACATTTAAAAGGGGAGAAAGCATAGCCTTTATTGACTCTGGTTTTTAATATCATTTATGCCGAAACCGGTTTGGCTCAGCGGTAGAGAGTCGATCTGCAGACTGAAAGGTCTCAGGTTCGATTCTGGTCAAGGGCATGTACGTTGGTTGCGGGCACATCCCCGGTAGGGGGTGTGCAAGAGGCAGCTGGTCGATGTTTCTCTCTCATCGACATTTCTAGCTCTCTATCTCTCTCCCTTACTCTCTGTAAAAAATCAATAAAATATATATATATTTTTTTTAAATAAAATCATTTAGTTTGTTTAATTTTCTATTGTTATAGAGGTGCCTGGAGGGCTAGCTAAATAAATGTTTACAAGTTCTTAACAGCTCTGGACCATTTGCAGTTGCTATATATTAAGTTCCATCACCAGTGCCAATTCTCTTTCCATGTGCTAGCATATCATGGAAAGTTTCACAGATCAAGAGCACGTTCATTTCTAACACCCAAATGTAAGCCAATATGGTGTTTTTCTGATGTCTGGGCACTAACATGAACCCTTTGGAACATATGGAAGCAGAAACACAACTCTTCTCTACAGGCAAGAGACCAGTGCTGTAGGCCAATTTTTAGCTTCAGAGAACCAGATGAACTAAACTGTGTTCAGCCAGGTTTGAACCTTTCCACTCCCATCACAATAGGACTATGACCCCTGTGTATTATGGCATTTGTTCTCCAACTGAGGAAACATCAGCACAATTATTGATGGAGAACTACTAATGTATCCCAAGTTATAAGGCAAGGAGCTTGGTTTTGCTTTTTAGAAGTAACTCTGGTAATTCTGATGATCAACCATGTTTGAGAATCACTGGTCAATGCTATTCTAGACAGTTCCTAAACAGAATTGAGACCTGGGCCAAGGGAGGCAATGTTGTCTCAAGTAGAAGTGAAGAACTGAAAAAGGAGGAGAGTGGGAGGTAGGCAGGTGGGACAAAGAGGGTGTTTAAAGGGAAGGGCAGAAGCCAACTTTGGCCCAGTTGTCAACTCAACTCAGGAACTGCTCAGCCTAGGATCAGTCTCTCTGATTGGGGGGTGAGTCCACCAACACCATTCACAGCCTGTAGTGCAGTGCAGGGCCGGGGAGGAACAGAGGGAGAGCGTGGACCATGAAGTCAGACAGCCTGCTGTGAACCTAGGTTCTGCTACTTGCAAGCTGTGGGACCTTGGAAAAGTTGACCTAACCTATCAAGGTCTCAGTTTCCTAATTTTTCAAGTGAGGATAATATAGGAGCCACCTCATCAGGTGTGGAAAGAATTAAAAAAAACTTTAAGTGCTCAACACAGTGCTTGGCTTCTAGTACTCTGATGCTACTGTTATCTCTCCCCATTGTGTCCACGGTGCCCAGCTGCTGATATTAAGGGTTGATATATTTGTACATAAACTACATCTAAAGACTAACTGACTCGCATTAATAGTCAAATCTGCCCAGGACCTCCTGAACACCTCACACTGACTCCCTGGGCCATTTACTCAACAATATGTAAAGCGGGTGAATCACAATAGAGGTACAAAGGTTGAAAATTTCGGCAAACTCATTAGTCAATAGAGCCAAATATCAACAGTACAACGATTGAAATTTCTTTTGAGAGCTACATTTTTAAAACTTAAACTATATAGGTAGGTACATTGCTATTAACTTAATTAGGGTACTCCTAACCTGGCCTTTGCTAAAAACTCAAGGGGCCAAAGAGTTGCATGTGGCTCTCAAGCTGCAGTTTGCAATCTGCTTATCTAGAGGAACTTAGCACAATGTCTCAGTAAACTCTTTGAAAAGTATATCTCAGAGCAAAGGGAGTGGGCAATAAGAATGGATGGGGGTCTGGAGCTGTATATAATTAACAGACCACTGTAGTCATGACCTAAGTCAGATCACTGAACACTGCACTTCTTTGGAGCTGCATCTCCCTCACCCAGAACACAGGCATCATAATGGAGTGACGGCAGACAGCAAAACTGAGAAATGTGCAGTCATTATCACACTTCCCACACTGCATTAGTGTACCCACAAGCCATTCAGAGATTCCTGAAACATGAATTTAGTTACCAATAATTAGGCTGTATATCTCCAGCACTTAGCAACTAACTTTAGAAAGTGACCGGGAGAGCTTTGTGTTACTTATTTCTGTCTTTCAGGATTTGTAGGTGTTTTGTTTTTTAGAAATGGAAGGAAGAAGGGAGAAAGGGAGGGAGAAGGGGAGATGAAATATTTACTGACAGCCCATAGGCTATCCCTGAGAAAACTATAGTAACCACGGAAGCAGTAAGACATTGCCCAGATTCCATTTCTGCCTCATTCCTCCAGGGTCTCCGGCCCAAGGGGAGGAGTTTAGGCCTTGGGCCAACCTGAGCTATAAGCACGGCTCACTCTGGACTATTTATAGTGCTGGGCTGTTGGGCAGACCTCTTTAGATATTTCCAGCTCTTTCTAATTCAAAACAGCTCTTCGTAAGCTCTGAGCCATATCAGTGTGTGTTTAAATGTTTTTACATATCCTGGGTCTTGCAGGATACATAGATTAAGACAATGTTAGTTATCCCAGTTTATTCCACTGAGTAAAATAAATTAGTCAGTAGTAGCCATGCATTTGTTCTCCTTTGTATTGTAGAGGAATTTGGCTTCTGTAGTCACTTATTTAGTCTTTTCTATCCTTGTAAAGATAAAATCCAACCGTAACAATGCTTCAGCTGCATTTCTTTCCGGCATGGTCTAAGATTCCTCTTCCTCCTTAATAAAAATTCTGAGACTACAGTGTCTTCTCTCTCCAATTTAGATGGCGTTATGAATTATGGATACGCCATCCACTATGAGCCCCACCAATCACTGATATTGAACAGTTCTGATGAAATACTGCAGCCAGTTTATATTGTTTTCCAGGGACTTGGACTATTCATAAAACAGCTCCCTCTGCCAAAGCCAGCCTTGGTAAGGAGTATGCCTTTATTTGGTAGGGAAATGAGTTCGGTATAGTAGCCTTGGATTATCACCAAAAATGAAGAAGAAAATGGAGATGGATTACAAATGAGATAAAGAATAGGATGCCCTAGCTGGTTTGGCTCAATGGATAGAGTGTCAGCCTGCAGACTGAAGGGTCCCAAGGATTCCGGCCAAGGACACATGCCTAGGTTGCAGGCTTGATCCTCAGTAGGGGGTGTGCAGGAGTCAGCCGATCAATGATTCTCTCTCATCATTGATGTTTCTATCTCTCCCTCTCCCTTCCTCTCTAAAATCAAATATATATATATATATATATATATATATATATATATATATATATATATATGTTTATTCTTAGATCATATTTCTTGGGGTTTATCTTGCACTGGGATGAATTTGTGGGGCAGGAGGGGAAAAATGGCACTTGTCCTTAATTTTTTCCTTCTGGCTACAGAAGATAAAAATTTGTATTAATATAAGCTTTGGTGGGTAGCTTGTTATCGATTTGACACCACTGTCCAGCTGCTTTTAAAGTCTTGTAGTTTCCTTTCTATAAGTGCTTTGATTTTCACAAAGGTTTTGCCCTGTAATTGTTTTATATTTGGAAGGCTATTGTGAGACAATAAATTTCTGTTGTTTTAGCCACCCAGCCTGTGGTGTTTGGTTATAGAAGCCCTAACAAATGAAGTCAGTGGTCCTGGAGCAAGAGAGAGTTCTGTAGCAGGTCTAGCTATTGTACAAGCAACCCGGTGCTCAGACGATCCTATGGTGCTAAGCTCTGTAGAATATTTGAGAAGCCTCAATACAAACCTGCAGAGGTGTTGAGCAAGCCCATGCCAGCAAAGGGAGTTTGCTACTCAGAAAGCAGGTCTGGGCCCAAGGAGGGACTGAGCACCTCAGCATGATATATCAAGCAACTGTGCAACCATACCGCCTTTTATGGGTGGAGTATTATCAGAGCCACCAGGTTGCAAAGTTTGCACAGGAGAAATCTATCATAACCATAGACCTCTCAGAGATAAAGATCTGGGTTACTCCACCAGCCAAGTTACCTAAACCCACAGACGTGCTGGCCAATGAGAAGGGGGTCCTACAAAGGGCAGAAGAGAAGGGAGATACTGATGAACATCTAGGAACAAACTGCAGCAGCAAACAGTGAGATCTTGGCTCACCAATCTTCCTATTGTGGGTTCTTTGTCTTTGTGATGTTGAAGAGTCAGTGATAAAGTAGAGCAGCCTACCCTGGGGCTCAAGGAATGTGAGTGGTAAAAATCTGGACTGCAGAAGATGCAAGCAATGGCCTGTTCAGACCCCCTCATCCTTAACACTTCAGAGCACAACAACCTTCGACCTGTTAGCACCTAGATTTATTTGTTGGGAGTTTTCTCTGGCCTACAGAGCAACTCTACGGTGCACAGCATGCCAGGCGCGCCAGGGAAATTATACCATGTCCCCAGGAGCAGCCTTTAACTAAAACTGATAGGAACTGGTGTATAGATATCCCAGCTCCCTTACTTCGTAAGTGGGATGATCCTGAGGCCCAAGTTTCAGAACTCAGTTTCCTGAAGGGATTAAGCTCCAATCACCTGCAGTGCTAACTTGCTTGACAAGAATCTTTATTTTACTGCCCTCTCTCCCCTGTGTTTTTACTTCCTTACCACACTTTCCTATGATCAATTCCAAAGTAAATAATTTGTTTTATTGTCTCAATGTCTGCTCCTGCAGAAACCCAAACTAACGCAACACACCTATCAAAATACACTCCGTCAGCAATCTTTAATCAACAATATTCCTAGCTCCTTCCCATTGTTGTCCGGGAATGCTCCCTCTTATGTGTGCAGAAGAAATGAGGTAGTGGGATGGGGAAGTGATGGGAAAAGATTACTTTAGCCTGAATGGATTCACATTTTCAAGGTAAGGCAACCACACTGTTTTCTGGTGGATAGAAACCCTGGGTCTCGCTTTAAAGCAACAGAGAATGGAAAACATATTGCCTCCCTACATTTTTCAGTTGTCACTCGTGCATGATCTAAAACCGGGGTGTGCCATAAGGCATTCCTTAAATCTGCTCCATTTGCCACTTATGGAGAGGAGGCATTCCTCCATGATTCCAGCATTTGTTGCCCATCAGCATTCCTTTTAGTCATCACCATAAATTTCCACATTTTCCATGTCTTCATTTTCTGTGCTGTCATAGGTATTTTAATGAAAGTTGAATGACACTGCATGATGGAGGCTGCTGGCCATACGATATTTTAAACATCTGCAATATTTTATCTGCAGTGAAGTGATAAAGTAGAAGATAGAATCACTACATTTCAAGGAGTCCATTTTCCTAGAATAAGGCCTTCTTTGCATATAGAACCACAGTATAGATGTAATAATAAGGGAACTAGGTACAAACCTGGAAATTCCAGTCCTCTTTAGCATAGTTTCTCAAAAGATTTCTAAAGAAATGATTCATGAGTGGGGAGAGAGAGAGGGAGAGAGGGAGAGAGAGAGAGAGAGAGAGAGGGAGAGAGAGAGAGAGAGATGGGTTTACATCTTAAAGAGTCCTGAAGTCATAGTTATTTCTCCAGAGACCTAAACTGGTCATTCAATAATGTTTGGAATATATTGAGAAGAATTAAAAAGCTATTTCATCTTGAAGTCAGCATTTTATTATTTCATTCTGCAAGTGACATTTTAATGACCAAGCAATCACAGTTCTGTGATAAATTCTGGAAGTGTAAGGGTTGTTTCCCTTTTGGGCTAGGTCATGATTTGAGTGATTTTTCATTGGTTATGGTCTATTATTATCTGGTTGATGCTTCTTGTAATAATAACCCTGCCTTGTTCTCCATCTTGTCAATTTATCTTTCTTGACCAGCTGCCATTCACACTTTGACCCTGTGACAATAGCGTGACTGCTCTGACCTTTGCAACTATTAAACCCAAAGGGGCTAATAAGCTACCAATCCACACAAGTCTAATTAGCTATTCCAACAGCTATAGCAAAGAGGCAGTTCTAAGCCATCTTTCCATCTTAAAAAATGAAAGTTAACATAAGCTAGAAAGAAAAAAAATCAAAAGAATCACCTTGGAAAATCCAAGAAGCTTCTCAGTCAGACTGATCTCCCATTTTAGCACTTCAAAGTTTTCCAGTGTGATTCTGGACTCTTACTATGGGGAAGATGGTACTGGTTTAAAGATTCACATGCATATTCAGTGTGATGCACCCAAAAGGTGCCAGGAGTTGAAGAATCATGAGACCATATAAATGAGCTGGATTAGCAAATAAGATGGATTACACATCCTACCTAATAAAATAGTAATATGCAAATTGACCATCACTCCAACACACAAGATGGCTGTCCCCATGTGGTCAAAGATGGCTGCCCCCATATGGACACAAGATGGCTGCCACAAGATGGCCAGCAGGGGATGGCAGTTGGGAGGGACCAGGTCTGCAAGGTAGGGCAGTTGGGAGTGATCAAGCCTGCAGGGGAGGGAAGTGGGGAGGGAAGTTGGGAGCGACTGGGCCTGCAAGAAAGGGCAGTTGGAAGGAGGGGGAGGGGACCCAGGCCTGCAGGAGAGAGCAGTTGGGGGTGACCAGGCCTACAGGGGAGGGCAGTTAGGGGCAATCAGGCTGGCAGGGGAGTGGTTAGGAGGTGATCAGGCTGGCAGACAGAAGCGGTTAGGAGCAATTAGGAAGGCAAGCAGGCAAGCAGTTGGGAGCCAGCAGTCCTAGATTATGAGAGGGATGTCCGACTGCTCGTTTAAGCCCAATCCTACCTGGATCGGGCCTAAACAGAGGATTGAGCCTAAATGGGCAGTCGGACATCCCTTAAGGAGTCCCAGTATGGAGAGGGTGCAGGCCGGGCTGAGGGACACACATACCCGTGCATGAATTTCATGCACTGGGCCTCTAGTTTTAATATAAAACATTTGGATCACCTAGATATCTAATCTTCCTGAAACCTCCATCTAATATTGCCTGGGAATGTGCTTTGAAATCATGTCATAGATATATCTTTTTACTCAGCAATAGAAATTCTATAGTGCAGTGTTTATTTAATTGCATTAAGACTACCTGGAGAGTTCATCCAAATTCAGACAGTCTGGAATGGAATCTTTATTTAAAAGAATATGGACCAACTTTATCTTGAATTCTGCTTCTTAAAGTTCCAATACATAAGGGTTGAAACAGAATTGTGATAAAACTCATAGTTTCACCATAATTCAATATCTTTGCCAGTAGGGAACATATGTACAAACAGAGCATCTGAGATGAGGATGAGACAGATTACTCAAGCTCAAACCCCTATGGCTACTGGAGATTTTATCACATTTTTCAACTGGCCCTTTTAATGTAAAAATTATCCAAACTACTCTCAATGTAAAAATTATCCTTGGGACTAAGAATGCAAACTTACTCATTGAGCACCTAATTTGCCTACAACTGTTCTAGCTTTTATAGGAAAGTCAGAAGGAGACTTCCTCAAGGAAATGTGAGGTGTGTTTTTGCTTAACCCCTTCACCTTTGTCATTACATCATCCCCAGGAAGCCAGAAAAGGGCAAAGACATTCTAAATAAGTCCTGACCTTAAGAAGAAGATCCATGTGGATTATACTGCCTAAAGAAGGCTTCATGCAGGGAGGTGGGAACTGGGATTGGATTGGGAAAAGAAGGAGGAACAGGAGCAAATTTTCAGTATCTAGAATGAACATGCAAGTCAGAAATCAAAGCTGTATGTATCAGATTACACCAGCTGACTGAGTTTATACATGGGCCTTGGTCTCACATAACTTTGAAAGTGAAGAATTCATAAGAGATGGGAGTTGTATCAAAATTGCAACCTTTGTCAGGCCTGTGTGGCTCAATAGTTGAGCATCGACTTATGAACCAGGAGGTCACGGTTTGATTCCTGGTCAGGGCACATGTCTGGGTTGCAGGCTTGATCCCTAAGGGGGAGCAGGCAGGAAGTGGCCAATCAATGATTCTTTCTCATCATTGATGCTTCTATCTCTCTCTCCCTTTTCCTTCATCTCTGAAATCAACACAAATAGATATATTTTTTAAATTGCAACCTTTGGGGAGAGGACAACAAGTAAATGGTTGAAATGAATATTGAGTTGGGCTAGCCCTGAGTTCCACCCCTCGGTCTGCCACTTTCTGTGTGGCACATGCATCTTACAGGTAACCTCCTGTGGCCTGGCCTCTCTTCGCCCTGGTCCTCCAAGGTGGAGCCAACCCTGCTTGCCTCTTGCGGATCTCCTGAGTCCTGAATAAATGAGAGGCACCTCCAAGGGAGCGACCCACTGAAAGGAAGTTTGAGAATTTACAAAAATCAAAGGAGCAGTGAGAGTAACCAGTAAATCAGAGGGAAGTGCTCCCTTAGGCAGTGCAGCTGCTGCAGCTGACAGAGCCTGAGGCAGCCCAAAGGCTGGGACAGGAAGAGGAAGGCAGGTGCCCTACTGCGTGGGATCAGCTACCTGAGAGGAAGGAGGCAGCTCTAAGAACCAGGCCTCCAGTCTCGGATGTGAGCAGGAGGGTACGAAAGCAACACTTTGTCAACATCTGAAGAAGGGGCCTCTGGACAACCTTGCCGTCAACGTGAGAGGAGAAAGGATGTGTTTGACAGCCGGCGGTTAAATTCGGCTTCAGGAGTTGCTGCCAGCCTCCAGCTTTCCACAGAGGGATCTTTACTCCTTCCCTTTTGCATAGAATTTTCATATATCATTTCCACATTTCCATCAGTGGCAAATGAGACTCAATCCCCACCCCTACTCCACTCCTTTTTGGGAATACAGATCCAAAGGGATTTAAATATCTAGGACAAAAGAGATCATACGCGTATCTTTAAAAAAATAAATTAAAAAAAAGCTTTATCTTCCAATGTAAATCTCAAAGAAGGTAT